TTCCATCATTTTGAAACAACCATTGTTTTGTTATATTGCATTTTTATATACCTTTTCCAAATCTAGAATAGAATGCAAATACCATTTTTCATTTTTAGAAAATGTTTATATTTTTTTTGGTAATAACTTAATTCTTTAGGTAGTATGGAAGTCCTTTAGATAAATTTACCTTTCCATGTTTATTTTATGGGAACCTAATATCTATAATAGTGTTCGTTAGACAAATTTAAGCAGTATACTAAGTAGAGATGGTTGACTTCAAAAAAATAAATAAACGTATTTATTAATTCATATTTAATTTAAACATTGTAACATTTTAAAAGTAATTATAAAATGTTATTTTAAATGTGTGCCATCCGGTATAATTTAATTATCGCCAACACACAATATTCTAAAGAAAGGAAAATTTCTTGAAGTGGGAGTACCACTAACCAAACGATCTCAAATTAGATTTGTAAATTTCATTTTATTATTACCTTTTGATTGTATCGGTGGTGCATTGGCTGTTAAAGTGGTAAGCATAAAAAGTATATAATGTCTTTATTAAATATTTCAGTAGAAATATTATTCAAACCTTTTGTTAATTATTAGTTTTTTAATAGTAAAGTTAAATATATTTTTATGTTTCATTCTGGTTGCTAGAACGGCACAATATGTATAGTAACTAGTTTTTATTATCTGATTGGTTCATTTTTTTAAAAAAAGTAGATGTTTCAAATTTATATATGTACAGAACCACGTGAAAAACAAAATCTATTTTTGTCTAGCAAACAAATGGAATCAGCCATAAGCCATAACGTCATAAGCCATAAATCCATAACGTCATAAAGCCATAAAGCCATAAAACCATAATTCAACCGCTGTAATCGGAACGTTGGTTCCCGAGGAGCAGAAATCTCTTGTGAAAAGTTAGTTGATTGGAAAAGCGACAGCTACAATTTGAAGCTTCATAAGAAGAAAGAGTAACCGACAAAGGCGTTGGTTTCCGAGGGGCAGAAATCTCAACTACCTATGGCTATCTAGAAGTGGTTAGCTAACAAAGCAAAAATGTGGTAACTACTAGTGACTAGAATTATTTATGTACGAATCAAAATTTGATACCTGATAACTGTGAATAATTTGTTTTCGAAAAGGTTTCTTGTTTTTTAAATAAAATCATTAATTTTTATATGTATATATGTTGAATCTTATTTTTTAAAGGTCACAAAAAAATTCTCTTTCATTCACTAAACTCTGTATAATTTTTATTAACTTCTTTTTATTGATAAAGCTAGAATTTATAATTCTCACTAGCTTTTAAAAATAAAAAAGAGAATTATTGGTGCCCAACATTTCCTAGAAATATTACTACCCTTAAAATTGTCTATTTGAAAAGCAGAATTCACGACAGAGAAAAGTATGTGCTCATTTATTTTTTTTTTAATTTTTAAAGGTAAGTAACGTTTGTTATTAAATTTCACTGAGCTAGTAAAAATCTCTATAAGTGTTTTGAAATTAACATTTATCAGAAGGGTAACGAATAATATTACAAAATGGCGGGCAAAGTGTCAGGGTAATATTGCAAATTGGAGCCCAACGTGTCAATTTAATATTGCAACATATAAAATATATATGGCACCACATTATAACATACGAAAACAAAATGTAAACTGTGAGTTATTTGACAAAATAAAAAATTAACAAATCATGTTTAATACATTCAGGCTTCTTCAGATTCATTACCAAACACATCTGAACTTAAAATTCCTTTTTGTTCTTTTCCCTTTTACACCTTATAATGTAATTTGTTTTTTTTTTCTTGAAATTTCAAATCTTACAGACAGAAATTCCCGAATATGGTGTCTTACAAAATTGTTCTAAGGGGAGGCTAAGTTGAAACCGAAGCAAATCTGCTAAAGCTATGAAGCATTCAGGTGAAGTTAATAGTACCATGTAAGACTTTAAACTACAAAAGTGCCTCCAGACAACAAAAGTACTCATGCTCAGGGGTACACCAAGAGGAACCTTGAAAAAGACCCCAGAGACATCAACATCAATCCAAACAAAGCCATTCACACAACAGAGCATACCTTCTTAAGTGAAAGCAAGTGTACTAGCAAGGAGTATATGCCAACTTTGATCATAAAAGAATCTTACTTTATAATTAATATATCAAAGTCTCAAACAGAAATGATTTAGGATTCTTTTTCAATTATATTTTATATGAATTTTGCTGTCTCTCTTTTGAATTATGTATCTACTGCTCCCTTAGTTTTTAACAAAATTGTGAAGCCTGTGATATCCACTCTTAGAGCTAAAGGGTTGTTACCTGTAGTACATACCTACATGATTTCATACAGGGTGGGGCAGAGCAAGTTGCTTGATGGTTGCTCGTAGGTGAGTGGGGGTAGGCACAATCGAAAGAGTGGGTTGTAAAGTTTATCCCATCATGTAGGAACGAAGATGCAATGCGCTTTCGCTGTCATTTAATCATCACCACGCAACGTGCATTTCATGTACATTTCAACATTGCGCCTGTGGTGGCCGTGTTCCTGGTCGGCAGTAGATTGTTTCAAGGGAAACTGGAGACCAGGAACACAGACACGAGGCGCAATATTTAAATTCACGTTGCGTGGTGATGATTGAGCGACCGGTAATAAAATACGCCTTGACAGCGAACGCATGTTGACCTTCGTCCACTCCATCATGTGGGATAAAACTGTACGACCCACCCTTACGACTATGCCTACCCCTACCCTCATCCGAGCGACTGTCGCTCCAGGGCGACAAATTCAAATAAACAAGTTGTACTGTCCCACCATGTACTATTGGAAAAATCTTTTTAATACTGTAAAAAAATATTAAAGATACTTCATAAATTTTATTATTAGGGTTTATAATTAACAGGAAGAAGAGTGACCATCCTCTAACCTTAATTTCTTATAGTTTAATTTGACACTATGTATCTCACTGAAGTTAAGAGGATGAAGATTTTAGGTATGTTCAATTATTTCCTAGGTATGTATTCCTGTTCAATTAGAGATGTTTCTAGACTAAAGACTGAGTGGGAACTAATTAATGAGGTATATTTCACATAAGTGCATGAGGTATGTCTCATGGAAGAAATACACTTATGCCTCGACCTTAGATTGGTCCAATTATAACTTTTATAGTTTTCTGCCCACACAAAATCACATTGGTTTTATTCTTATATCTTGTGGTAAATATTGGCCCTTTTTTCAAAAAAAAACCCCTGTCTTAAAGCAACTAAGCCCCCAAATATTTTTTCTTATGAATAGTTTCTGGGTGGTTTAGTAAGGGACAATTTAGCAAAAAAATCATGTTTATACCTCATGAAATGTAGGTAAATATTTGTCTTTTTTTCAAAACTATCTTATGGACAGAAAGACCCCAAATATTTTGTCTTTCAACACTGTTTTAGATTAAGTGTCCCTTTCTGCCTTGTGAGGTAAATTTTGGTCCATCTTGAACCATAATTACATATCAATGGTAAATTTATACAAAATAGTGACAAAGTGAAATTCTAGGGAATTATATTAGACCATAAACTGAAGATAATGCAATTAAAAAAATAAGCTCATGTTGCTATGTTACCACAAACTGAATGTAACATTTTTTGATATATTGAAGATTCTTTATTATGGAGTATTACAGTCTACTATTCAGTATGGTTTAATATTTTGGGGTGAATCGTCTCCCATAAACAAAGAAAAATAATGAAAACTTTATACATAATGTATCACCCCAAACAGGATCTCCAAACTTTACAGCCTTAGGGCTATACTGATTACTCCAGTACGTTCCAAGGGCCAAAACTGATTTAATTTTCTGCAATTATCTATAATTTCTAGATTAGTTGCTGAGTATGTGCTCTAAGCAACCATACACTTGCTAAATTCTATAGTTTAATTATCAGATATACCTAGAACATCATGCAAACCATTTTGTGAAAAATCTGACATTCTAGCTCTAGTATTCCTTTTTATCTATCAATTGTACTTCCAAGAAAATGAACATACTTTCAATAAAAATTAAAACAAATTCATACATTGGTCATAACAATTACATATACACCAACCTTTCTCACTCCTAGAAATAGCCTAACATTCACCTAAGTATATCTATTATTGGAATTAAATGCTTCAATACCCTAGAATATTTAGTAAAAAGTGCCAAAATAGATTAAATACATTTTAAAAATAAATTAACTAATTTTTATGCAATGGTGGACCTTTTTGTTAAACTGTAAGTAAAAAAAAACTTACCACCAGGAGGCATCATTCCAGGTCCTCCAGGCCCTCCGGGCCTTTGTCCCATTGTCAGTTGTGCAGGTGGTGGTATAGCAACGCCTCCTTTACCAGGTTGAGCAAACGGATTGTTTGCAATCTTACCAGCCTTGAATGCAGCAGTTGTGGCATCGATTAAATGTTGAGCCTGTTCTTCCATCCACTTTTGATAATAGAACTTAACATTGTCTTTGTGTTTTCTACCTGTACAATGGGTTTTTCTTACGCTAGGGGAATCGTGAGTCAAATAAGTATCGCAATAGTCACAGTAGTATTTCGGCATTTTGGGGTTAAGTGCTGTGCTTGTTTTAATAAAAGTACCTATAAAAAATTCTAACATTATAAATAAGAAAATTGACTACTACTTTTAGATATAATTATTACCTTTGTCTGGAAAGCTATTTAATAATTATATTCTAAATTAAAACACCTCAAACTTCCACCTTGTCAACAACCGAATTGATTTGATAGATGACAATGACACATGTCAAATTAAATTATCTATCCAATCAGTGTTGCCAAGATATTTTTTTGTTATGTACCAGATTTGTCCAAAAAACGTACCAAATTCCATAAAAATGTACCAGATTCTATAAAATGTACCATATTTTATAAATTGTGTTTGGTTCATTGAAGAGCACAAAAATACAAAACAATATTTTACACGTTAAATGGAAACAAGCTGGAAAAAGATTTTGCTTCCAGTGCATTAAACTATCAGATTTTTAGATCTATTACAGTTGAACTAGACTGGCAACACTGTACCCAATCTACTCTTTTCCGTTTAGGTTGGTCTCTAATTATATTGGTTATCTGATACCCTATTTTAATTTTTTGACAATTTTAACAATATTATCTCGTATACGTTTTAATATTATAAAAACTAGTTAAACTCATAAAAATATATTCTTCCCTATCTGCATTTTAGACTGTAGACCTTATTTATTATGTGGAATTTAAAAAACATACTTGGACTATATTAAAAAAACAGTACTAATGTGAAATAAAAAGAGAAGATGATCATGACCCATGCATACAGTGTTGCCAGACCCCCTGCTTTATAGTAGATTTACTGTTTTTGTCCCTGTTCTTATGTTTTCCTGTTCTCCTGTGTTAGGCCTGAATCTACTGGTTTCGCCAATTCGGCGAATTTTGCCTCAATCTTCAGCAAATGTACAAAGGATATTTTCTCAAGTAAATTTTTTTCAGTCAAACCAGCATGCAGCCTAGTAAGATACAATGGTACAATGGTATGGTACAATGAACTGTAGTGGGGTAGAATGCTTGTTAATAGGCTTGAGATGCGACTCTATGGGCGCAAACAGGTTATTTTCCATCTCACTCGGGAGTATTTATAATAGCCATTTTCTCTTTCACATTGTCATTGTTTGATCCACCAGCTTGTGGACTGGACAATAACAATGTGGAACAGAAAGTGGTTATTATAAACTCTCAAGTGAGATGAACAATAAAAATGGCTGCGCCCATAGAGTCGCATCGTGTTCTATTGAAACAACATGCACATTGGCCTTCTATCCCACTCCAGTTCATTGGTATGGTAGGTTGGTGGGTTTGCTCTTTGCTCCACACAAAAAATATTATTGTTACTTCAAGATAATCATGTTTTGATTTAAAATGCAACAATGAATTAATAGGGCATCATAATATAAGAACATGTATTACAAACACATTTATTTATCTGATTCAGACTGATATGAAAGAAATATTAATTTATTTTGTTTTGGACATTAAGGACCGATTCCACCGTTGTGTTAAACGAAGTTTAAAATGACATTTTTACATTAACAATGTCATTTTAATCTCCGTTTAACACAACGGTGGAATCAGCCCTAAGTTTTTCAAATTATATTTTATTCTTTGTTTAATTTCTAATTTGGGTATAAAAGCAAAACATGTTTATTTTCCATTTTTTATATAACTTTTTTTTTTAATTATTACTCTGCAAATCATAATTATTTTTCCCTCCCCCAGAATTAAAATTTACTGTTCAATTTCAATGATTATTGTTTTATTCCACCCATCTACTGTTCAACTTACTGGAGCAAATTTTCATCTGGCAACCCTGCATGCGTGGCTCAATGATACTTTGACAATTCACAGTGACACTAGTGACAGGGATATGCCATCAGTGTTGCCAGTTTGTTACAATTGTAACAAATCTATTACATTTTTAAAGGGTTTATTACATTATTACATGTCCAATAAATCTATTACATTTTCACGATTGATAAACTTGAACATAACCCTTGATTTTCTATGTTCCTAATATATTGTTTATTATTTCATACAACTAATACCATCTTAAACAGGTTTATTTGGTTGTTTATCCCAAACATATTTTCTTGAACATGCCCAAAGCGCTTAAAAAGTTTCTTATATCATTGGACCTTGCATTGGAGACAGAATTTCTTTTTTCTTCGTTTTCTTTACAAAAGATTTGTTTCAACCCCAGTACAGAACCGTTCTGAATTTATCTGCGACAAGTTAGAAGTTTATACTTTTTAAATTTGAATTTTGAGATCAACCTAAATTTGAAATCTAAACAAACTAATTACTTTTATATTCACGCTAGCATAAACAAAGGATAAATTGACAAACTTGGCTTCACAGAAAACTTACTTTCCGGCATGGAACGACCACCTCATTCACATCTCATTTTAAATCGAGATGTAAAAAATGTAATCTGGATAGGTACATCTCGGATAAACAAACGCAGATGTAGATGTGTCCGATGTGGATAAACAAACGCTCGAGGTGTAAAAAAATGCATCGGATGTGGATTTTCAAATGCGACAAAAATCAATACAATTGCCGCGTTTGAGAATCCACATCGGATGCATTTTTTACATCTCGAGTGTTTTTTTATCTACATCGGACACATCTGTCCTATTACATTTACGTATACTAAATCACGTGATTAAAGATTTACTACATCTCAGATGAATCCGATGTGAATTCTCAAACGCAGCAATAGAATCGTATTTTTTATGTATAGTTCATTTTAAGTTGACTAAAATTTCTATTACATTTTCTTGAAATTTATTACAATTTTGAGAGTTCATCTATTACATTCCTTCAGGGTACTCTGGCAACACTGTATGCCATATGCCAGAAAAGTTAAATATTTTTGTTTTTTGTTGTTTGTATCTGCTCCTACGTTTTAATTAAGGATAATAGAGAAATAAAAGAGATTTAGGTAAATCTGCACATTCTTACTTAAATCAGACAATCAAACATATATATTCTAATTATGGCTGCACAAGAGGAAGGATTTGAACAGGTAAATTATATTTCTTCTTAAACATTGTTTAATGCTATCTTTTTACTTTTTGCTTAACGTTTACATATTTATTATAGTTTGAAGAAGATGACGCAGGAGACACAGCATTTGCACTCAATAGTGCTGGTAGAAAAAGGATGTTCAGTAAAGAACTGAGATGTATGATGTATGGTTTCGGAGATGATCAGAATCCATATACAGAAAGTGTCGACATTATCGAAGATCTAGTTATTGAATTTATCACAGAAATGACTCACAAGTACTGAAATACATATATTTCTATAAGCTTTTACTGACTAATTTAATTTTGTAGAGCCATGGAAATCGGACGAACAGGTAGGGTTCAGGTAGAAGACATTGTATTTTTAGTAAGAAAAGATCCAAGAAAGTATGCAAGAGTCAAAGATTTGCTTACAATGAATGAAGAACTCAAACGTGCTAGGAAAGCATTTGATGAAATTAAATTTGCAGGTAATGTTGAGAAATAAGAGTTTGTGCATGTAAAGAAAACTCGTATTCCTTGACTTTAAGATGCTAGTTAGCAAAGGAATGGGTGTTAAAAGTGTCATTACATTGAGTGAATACTTACATTTCAGTAGAACAATAATTGTGAGTATAAAAAAAATCAACATATAGTTGAAGTCTGATTGACAATATTGCAATAAACAATAATGTTCAGGATACTCTTAACACAAAATAATGTCAAAAATTTTAATCTTGTTTGGTAGAGAAATATATTTTATTTGTTGAATTATTGACTTTCTAGAAGTTCTTATATTATTAAATTTCTCTATGAAATCTGGAAAGTCATTAGTTGAAGAGAGAGCTTGTCATAGTGTTCTTATTAAATATATCGTCATTGTTTCGGCTATTCGTTGTATCTCAAATTTACAATAATATCCAGGAGGCCCTTAATAAGATTTTTGTGGAATGAAACACTTTATTACTGATAAATTTTAAAGTAAGTTGGTTTGTTTCCTCTGATTTTCTGTTGTACTTTGATCATTCTGGTAGCTATGTACATTGCAGTTTATGTTGTTCGATGTTAAATATGTTTTTTTTGCAAGTTTGTTGGAGTTATGACCAATAGCCATAAAAAAATAAGCCATATTATTAATTACAACTCACAGCCAGAAAAAAAAGCATTAGTAGTTTAACTACATTTTTTATTTCAACATTTATTAGTAGTTAGCAATAATAAAAACTATTTAAGTAATTAACGGTGTAACACAACAAAATATAACTGAATATATTATGTTTAACAAAATCAACAATTAGTTTTCATAAGGCAAATTTTGGTAAAATATTTTGTGTTCTATATTTCTCATAACTTGCATATCTGATGTACAAAATTAATTTAAATCCCTATATTTTTCTGCACATATTTTATTTGGACTAGAATTGAGAGTTGTTAAGGCAACATTTTGCAAACAGATATTTCTTTTTAAAGTTAAAGATCTGTATGTGTCGGTATTTGGCAACTTTTGAAGTAAACTTTATGTAAATTTTGTTTTGAAATTTTTACTTCTTTTATTTTTGTCCAATTAACTTTTTCTTTCTAATCATCAATCCTTATGTTTAGTAATCTAATCTTCTGTGATAATTTCCTAAAATTTTTAAAGTCGAAATAGTTAGGCTGGGTCACATTTTATGGGTGTTTTCTTTTGTGAGGTGAATTGTGGGTATTAGTTTAGACAGCACATTTTCTTAAGGTATAAGATATCGCACTGTGGGCAGAATCCCCTTCATTCTGCCCATGATATGGTTTGAAAAATCTTAGGAATATCTCGTCTATACAGGGTGTACCTATAAAAACTACCAGGCTAGATATTTTGGTAAATAATAGATATATTTTAATTCTGTAAAAGCCAGTTCATAGAGCACTAAAAGAGCTTCAATTTTAGATATAAATTAATTTTAAATAGGTCAATATCGCTTATTTGCTGCAAGAATGTCATAACACAAAAGTTGTATTTTTACAGAATGCTCATTTTAAAGAATACCGACATATTTCAAAAATTTTTTAATTAACAAAATTGAAAAGGTATGTTCTTTATACAGAAACAATGACACTTCCGTAGTTATGGTGGTATTCACCTGACGGTGTTACTACCATTGACATTTTTCAAGTTTAAATATTTTAAATCAATGAATTAAAGTTTTTTTGAGTTGTGTCGGTATTCTGGCAAATGAGGGAGGAGAGTGATAAAATAGTAATTTAGCCTAATCGAGTAAAAATATAGTCAAAATACAAAATAAAACATTTTTAGATATCCGAGAGACATTGAAATTGTAGCATTTAAATGAGAGAAAAACCTTTGTACCAATTCAAGTGACATGTAATGGGAATTAAAAAGTTCAAATGTGACACTTTACCAGATAATAGTGCTTTTCTTCACGATCTTTATTGTGTCAACTCAAAAATTACAATTTTTGATTTATGACATTCTTGCAGAAAATGAGCGATATGTAGATGGCGCTGCGCTCAATATATTTTTTTTTTCGATGCGAGGATCTTTCTTATATAGCGCATCTTGTAAAAAATGCATTTTTAAGCAGATTTTGTTCTATAAACTAATTCGATAAATCTAGCCATTTTTTATATACAGAGTGGGTCACTCAAAACAGTTTCATTCTGTTTTTCGGCATTAATTATTAGATTTTAAGAAAATGCTAAAACAGGTCGATTTTTGTTTCAAATTGAACACATTTTCACAATGCAGACATGTGTCATGTGTCAACCCCCTCCCTTCCACTTCTCCAACCCCTTAATACCCATAAAATTACCTTTTTAATGATGTACTACACATTGTAGTGTCACACTCTATAATACGTAATAGTTTTTTTTTCCGCTAGACTCGCTAGAGGGTGATAAAATTAAAGTAACGCAGTGTACATAAATATTTCTGAATTCTTCATTAAATTACCTTTTCAATGATGTGCCATACATGGTACATTACCTGTTTAAAATGAAGGTGTTGGTGAAGTGCAAGGGAGGGGGTTGACACATGACAGATGTCTGCATTGTGAAAATGTGTTCAATTTGAAATAAAAATCGACCTGTTTTAGCATTTTCTTAAAATCCAATGATTAATGCCGAAAAGCAGAATGAAACTGTACATCAAAAATTGGCTAGATTTATTGAATTAGTTCATAAATCAAAATCTGCTTTTTCTACAAGATGCGCTATATAAGAAAGATCCTTCCATTAAAAAAAATTGAGCGCAGCGTCATATATACAGGGTGATTCAAAATTAAGTGCAAAGATTTTAAGGGCGTATGTACCAGCCAAAAATAAGATTTTTTTTTCATATAAATATATGTCCTAACTTGCTTTGTTTTCTAGATACAGGGTGTCAAAGTTTTTTAAAAAAAATCGTTTTTTTTATCAATTAGGTACTCAAAAACCTTTCAGCCAATATAAAATTTGGTAGGTTTATTTGTAGTCATAAGGGCCTTTCTTTGGTGTGTATAAAATAAATTTATTAATTCCAGTGGCGTCTCAGAGGGCTACCTCCTTGATACTTATAGGTAAAATTATGGTACGGCACTGCTTTTTTTAGATTAAGCGATCAGTAATGTAACTTTCTTGCCTCTTGAGCTTTACTCGTATCTAGCTTTGTTTTCAAGAAAAAACCAAAATCTGTGCCTGACCCTATTAAAACAAGTAAAAAACTAATTACTAAATGATGGAGATTGTCGCCAAATAGGTCTGTCTAAATTTTTATTTGTGTTATGAAATTTCATTTATTATTTATTCCAGTGGCGTCTCAAAGTGTGATTTTATTTAATTAATAATTGTTAAAAAACCGATTTTTTTTTGACACCCTGTATCTAGAAAGCGAAGCAAGTTAGGACATACAATTATATGAAATTTTTTTCTTATTTTTGGCTGGTAAATACGCCCTTAAAATCTTTGCACTCAATTTTGAATCACCCTGTATATTAACACATTTAGCCCCATATGCCCACCGGTGGGCATTTTAAGTTTTTCTGTTTGGACCGCGTGCCCACCCGTGAGCATTTGATGTTGTTTAATTCAAGTCACCGTGGACACCGGTGAGCACGTTTAATAATAGTTTTAGATATGCTGACGTATTTAGTGGGCCCAGGAGACAACAAAACTGTACGTGGACCGGGCAGAATGAATGTACACGTTGTAATTTTTGGCCCTAAAAAATTATATTTTGGTAATTTTACATATTATAAATGTGTAAACGAAACTATATTCTAACAAATTAATTCTATTTATTCTTTGTTACAAAACAAGTAATATTCTAACCCAAGCAATACATATGAAATAAAATGAAGTAATAAAAATTAAGCTTATACTAAATGCTTCTGAAAGCATTCTAGGAACATTGGAATATCGCAAGTATCACAATATGTATTTATTTTTTTTTGCATTTTTACGCGCATGCACTGGCTTTTGTCGCTGGGACATAGTTTTATAGCATGGACTACACCTTTTTCTTGTAACCCTTTTCTGTCCCTCATATTCCTTTAGGAAGTGTCTTTGTCTGGAAGTGGAAGGCCTTGACATTCTTGGACTTTCTAGGTGAACCAGAGCATCGACTACCTCTTCCTTGAACTCTGTAATGCCCATTTTCTTGTTGTTAATTTTATTATATAGATGTAGAGCATTTACCATAGCTGTCGATGTAATAAGTTGAAAAACTAGTCTCATATACCACTTGACGGTTCTTCTTACGTATGGTGCATATGATGCAATTTGGTCAGACAGGTCGACAAAAGCCTTTCCTTTATTGTATTCAACCACCATTGCAGGTTTATTAATTTCTTGTCCCCTTCGATTTACTGTAACCATCGAGTCATCATGTTTGGTAATGAGCATTAATACGTCCCTTTTGTCTTTCCACTTGCAGACTACGGTTTTATTTTCATTTTGTTGGGCTAAGATATCACCTTTTCTCAATTTTGCTTTCACCACATCTGGGGGATTATATTTCCTATTTGCTCTTAGAGTTCCTACTAAATGTGTGTGAAGCTGAGTTAGATTTTCAGCAAGCGAAACACTAGTATACCAGTTATCAGTACTCAGTGTTCTGCCTGTATCCAAAAGACCCTCCATCAGTGTTATTACAATTTTTTGGGCAACAGAAACATCTTCGCCTCTTTCTCTACCTGTGTATACTTTGATTGACCAGGTATATCCTCCAGCAACACAGAGTTTGAAAACCTTGATGCCATATTTATGTCTTTTGTTGGGAATATACTGCCGAAAATATATACGTCTTCGAAAGGGTACATTGCTTTCGTCAATACAGACTTCTTCTTCTGGAATATAAGATTCCTTGAATTTTTTTCCAGTATGTTAAAAAATTTGGAAATTTTATGTAGACTGTCTTCTTGATTTACCGGTTGTTCATTGTCTGATAAATGAAACATTGTCAGTACTATCTCAAATCTATTGCGGCTCATGATTTTTCGAATACCGTTTTCATAAATTC